TAAAATAGTATATCAACTGATGAGTAAGTTTGGTGCATACTGTCTTCTTGCTCTCAGGGTGCTTATGGTTTAACAGAAGGGGAAATATATTTTACATACTATGTGGTATAAGTTAACAAGTAAAAAATGTCAGGTAAGAAAGCTTATTTGGGAATTAAGAATATGGAGGGAGGGAATCTTTTGAGGTTAGATAAGATATAATTTTGGAAATTAAGAATTACAGAAATAAGGACCTAAAAACATACCATAAAGATTTCTGGTCCAAGTCAAGAAAAATTATATGCATCTAAGTGTATAAGTATATATATATTTGTCAGTTTTCTGAATTTCCAAATGAATTAAAAATAAAGACTCTTGAAGGCCAGGGAAACAACACTCGAGAGTTCACTAGCAGAACTGGGGCCACAGTCTAGGGCTACGGACCAGACCTTCAGCAAGACCACTGCTCATTCATTCCTCCCTGGAGTTGAGCCCTGAATGAAATGTCCAGTTTAGATGCAGGGGTGGCCTCGAGGCAGAGGGGCGGCCCTGCTGAAGGGAGGTAGTCACAGACAGAGAGGCATGGGCTCGAGCTTCAGGCTTCTGACTCTACCTTTTTTCATTTCCTGTGAGGTCTTCCTGTCAGCCTTTGTCTGCTGATAGCACTGTCCCCTGTCATATGTACAAATATTTACTGCCTTAAATAAAACCACACTGTTGCTTGACCCTGTGGCCCTCATACTTATGAACCCATCTCCCAACACCTAGGCACCTTGCCCCGACGGTAGTCTACACTTGCTCATCTCTCTCAATCCCTTAGGAATGGGCTGTAATGGATCTCCCACCCCAGCCACTCCATGGAAACAATCCTGGTGAACTCTGTAAACCCGCATATGTGTGCTACTCAAGACTCTTGTTGCATTGCTCTGCAGATCTCCACTTGAGGCTTCTGGCCCCCTTGCACATCAAGTAGGGTGCTGGGTTGCTTGCCATCAACGTGATCCTGGCTGACTTACGGAATGAAGAATATTTTTTGGAAGATTGGCAGACACTGTTGCTTCTGACTTCTCCTTTGCCCATAGGATACTGATTTGGTTTGTGTCCCACGTTCCTGACGCTTTGCTAGATGTAGATATTCTCTGCCTCCCTGATAAGGGGTGGCCACGTCACACAACTCTGGCTAGCACATACAAGGAGATGTCTGTTGGGGGAAATCTGAGAGAGGAGGCCTGTTCTTCTTGCCTTGGACTCCGTTGTGTGATGAGGTGGTGCTGGAGGACATAAGAGCTGTCTTTTATGGGGACAATCAGGAGACCCCCGGATGAGAAGCCAAGGGAGCTGGGTGGCTGGGCAGAAGGATAGGGAGAGCCTGGCCTCTTGTTCACTTTGAGGTTCTAGACTAAATGTTGAACTGCCGGTCACCAAATAAGTGACATAATTAAATGTCATTTATAGTCATGGCCCTGGTACTTGCACCTAAAAAAGCAATTATTTCTGTAAATGAAGGTTCAGCTCTCCCAGTCACTCCAGACAGCACTGTCCAATGGAGCTATAATGTAAGACAAAGGTGAAATTATATTTTCTATTAGCCACATTTAAAAAAGTGAAAACATCTACTAGGATGAATTTTAATAACCTTTTATTAAACCAAACAAATCCATAGTATTTAGATTTCACTGTATAATTAAGGTAAAATAATTATTAATTGGATGTGGTAGCGCTTACCTGTAGTCCCACCTACTCAGAAGGCTAAGGTGGGAGAATTGCTTGAGCCTAGGAGTTCAAGGGCAGCCTGGGCAACATAATGAGACCTCATCTTTCTCTCTCTTTTTTTTAATAATTATTTACAGGATATTTTACATTAATTTTTTATATCAAGTTTTCAAAATCTGTCTTTTAACACTTGTGGCACATCTCAGTTGCACTAGCCACTTTTCAAGTGCTCCATAGCCTCATGGGCTAGTGGCCTGCATTTTGGCTGTCATAGCTCTAGAATCAGACACCTGGACAGGAGTGGTGATTAGCAAGACCTAACTTACCTGATTGCGGTCCTCCTGCCAGGACAGGAAGGGAGAGACTGACTCCCTTTGTATTCCTTACCTGGGAAGCCCCCTACACATGAGAGGCAGAAGCTGGGCAGCCAGAGAAGGTTGGTGTGCCTTGTGACACTATGTACTGCCTTTTGTTATACCCACTGTTGCTTGTCCTTCAAAAATGGATGTTCCCAGGGTTCCATTATTGGCTTTTAATCTTTCTTTTTGGTTCTCTCTTTGGGTGTTACCTATTTTGGTTTTAGTCATCATCTATATGCTGATGACTTCCATATCTGTATTTGCAGCCCTGTTATTTTCTAGTTTTATAGCCATATATTCATTTCTTGGCTGGACATAGCCCCTTACCTGTCCTCCAGACTGCCATTGCCCAGTCTGAACTTACCTTCCCTCTTCTTCCTTGGACCCCTAATCTTATGTTTAGGGACCACTGTATACCCATTACCCAAACCAGAAACAGGAGCATCTTACTGTCTCCCTACTTCTTCACTCCTCAACCTCCTGTCAGTCACCAGGTCTGGTGCATTTTACTCCTGACTCTTTCCTCAGACTTGACCCTTCTTTTCTGAGCCATATTCATTACCAGACATCTTTTATAGAACTACTGTAGCGATCTCGTAGCCCATCTCCTGCCTTCTGGCTCATGGTCCCTCTTTGCTTCTTGCCTTCCTCCCCGCCCCACCCTCCAGCTGTCCTGTGCACTGCAGCCAGAGTGATCTCCCTTAGCACACATTGTCATTCCACTGCTTCAGCTTTTTCAAGTGTTCCCATTGACTATGGAATGAAGTTCCAGCTCCTTAGTGTGCTATAAAGGGCCTGGTCTGTCCATTCTTACCTGTCATTACTCCTGACCTTGCATTTGGTGCTTTGGTAATACGGAATGGTGTGGGTGGCTGCTGGCTGTGGAATGCTGTGTTGGTGGGGGCTGCCGCTGATTCCCCTGAATGCCCTGCTTTTGTATTAATGTGCTTTCTTCCCACCATGCCCTTTCCACCTTTCTGGCCAGCTCATTGTGGCTCATTCAGAACGTTCTATAATGGTGTAATCTTTGGCATTTTCTCTGAATCTGGAGACTGGACTAAATACCCCTCCTCTGCATTTCCCATAATCTTTGCCCATGCACCCCCTTTTTTGGCCATATATGATTGAAATTATTTATATGTATTTGTGGGTTTTTTGAGGCTAGGGTATCATCTTAGTCGTCTTTATCATGGAATGTCTTGTGTAGTATCTGGCTCCATATATATTTCTTGAACTGAATTAGATAAGTTTGAAGGGAGACTGAGTGGAAAAATATGTCAACTCAAGTTACAGACAGCCTTATGCATAAGAAGCGTTCAAATGTTTGGTGAATGAAGAACTGGAAATCAGATTATATTGCTTTGTAAATCTTGTCAGTTTTGGTGGGAAAATAACTTCAGGTAATAAATCCTTTGTTACCACAACCATACTTTGTTGTACTGTATCAGCATGAAGCATTGTTATTTTCTAGCTTTAGAGGTGATAGGCCCGGGTTAGCTGACTTCATGACATCTAAAATCACATCACATGGCATCTTTGTCCCACTTGTCATGGGGTGCTGGGGCTCACATCTATTCTGTGCCCAGTCGGTTCTTGCCAAGACTAATTCCCCTAAAGTAGGGGTTGGCAAGCTGTCACCTGTTTTTGTAAATACAGTTTTACTGAAACATAGCCAGACTATTAATTGATACGTTATTATGTATAGCTGCTTTTGTGCTAAAACAGCATAGTTGAACAATTGAGACAGAGACCATGTGGTTTGCAAACTAGAAAATATTTCCTAATTGGTTTTTTACATTGTAAGTTTGCTATAGAGCTTTGCCTTAGAACCATTTAATTTTTGGCAGACAAAACCTTATGTTTTACTCCAAATTGAGTACTGATCTCTGATTAGGAATCAGGAGAATAAAGATCAAAAAGCATCTTTGAGTTGTGTACTCTTTTTGGTAGGATGGCATTCTTAAATTGATTGCAGGATAGTCTTGAACTCCTGGGCTCAATCCACCCTCCTGTCTCGGCCTCCCAAGTGCTATATCTTTGTTGTTCTAGGTTATGTATATGAAATCTAAGTTGAAGAAAAAGTTTGTACCTTTGCAGACTGCTAGATGCTTAGAGGCTTAAATACAGGACATCCATTAAAGCGTTTAAATATCTGTTTACACATCTCCCTCCCTATACCTTACCACCCGTTCTCCAACCTTGCCGCCTTGCCTTTTGTGGGCAGAGTTCCTCTGGGTTTGACTAATTCTTTATTGTTTCTGTTTCTGAAAATAAGTAAGCTACCTTTATAGGGTAAAGGTAAAATCCTGGCAGTGTGGATTTGAGGTGACATATACCTGTCCTCAGCATGTCACCAAAGGCGATGTTAGAGTCATTTATTGTGTGGTAGCTGTGAGGATGACCCACATCTGCTGGAATGCTGGAGGAGAATGTACGAGGGTGCCGGGAGTCCCTTTTCAGTTGCCGCGTGATCAAGAGGTCTGGGGCTGGAGGTGGTGAGGGATGGAAGGGTGGGGTACCAGCTGGTGGTCAGCTTGCCTCTACAGATGTGTGTATTACTTCTAGTAAAGCGGAGGTTCCTCTGGCTCATCCTTCATCATGCATGTTTGAAATGTCATGTGCCAGATGCAGTTCTGGGCATTAGGGATTCAGAATAAGTAAATGTGCTTGTTGCCGTTGGGAGGCTTATATAGACAGGCGTTCTTGGAACTGTGTGGCAGGAGTTGGGAAGATCTATGCCGGAGAAGCCAGGAAAGGTTCTGTGCTGACAAAAGAATGTACGTGCTTTAACGGTCCAGTGGTTTTAGTTTTAAAGAAAACCCAAACTTTTTGACATCTTCCACTAAGCCTACATATTATACCTGTTTACTATAATTTTTGCTTACAAAAACATTTCAATTTTTATAGCAGTTATTTACTTTTTAGGATATAATTAAATTTATCTTTTAGGTTGCCTGCCTGATTCGAGTTCCGTCTGAAGTGGTTAAACAGAGGGCACAGGTATCTGCTTCTACAAGAACATTTCAGATTTTCTCTAACATCTTATATGAAGAGGTGAGATATGTGTTTAAACTCTACTCTTCTTTGTTAAGATTTCATAGTAGCTAATATGAGCACTGTGGATTTCATCCTAAAGGGCCTTAGAGAAAACTTTAGAGCTAAATTTAATGTCCAGTTACAGTAATTTTTTGCTAAGATTATCTTTGCATTTTATTCGTTTTTGTATATTTTGCTTTGAATATTTTTCACATTTCTAAGCATAGCATTGAGTGTTACTACAGTATGTGTATCCTGGATTGTAATCTTCCTGCAGTTCTTCTGGAATCAGATGTGAAACAAATCGTAAATATGTAAAATGAATAAAGATACTACATTAAAACATCTCTATAGTGTTTTTGGTCTACAGAAGAGAAATATAGTACAGCACTAATAACAGTGATTGGTGTCGTAATGTTTATACCAAAATGTAGCTCCTCTTTTGTAATGCATTGGCAGCTCTCAGTCAGAAATTATTCTTCCTGGCTATGTGACTAGGGAGCATTTAGCTACTTTCCTTTATAGTGTTTATAGAAGCATTTTTTTAAAGCAAGAAAATCAGTCACATGGAAATTTTCAATGAGTCTCGATTTTAGAAGAGTTATTTCTAATGGTCTGTTACCTAGGTGAGGAGACATTGAATATCTAATTGTACAAATGAGATGAAGCTATTATAGCTTCCCTGTTGAACTATGTGGATGGTTAATCCAGGTTTGTCTGGAATTATTGAACACTGCTTTGAGAGATTATGAATGAATTTCTGATGTTTGAAGCTATAAATATAATTCTGTTGTTATGCAAAAGGATAATTGGCATTTGTATGCATTTGCTTTTGGAAATGTATTTAAAGCATCTCAAATGTTCTTTTCAAGAGAAGACATGTTATAGCAATTACATACGATATAATTAATATTTAGTAGAATACAGCAACTAACAGTAAATATGTAGTCAGTTTTATTGTTAGACATGTTCCTATTTCAAAGGGAGCTAATCTGAGCTCCCTTAGCAGCCAGTTACAGAGGTATGTAAGTTATATAAGATATAGCATGTACCTTAGGCCAGTTTAGAATCATTAACCTCTTATAGAACTGTGGCAGTTGTGAATGTTTTAGAACTCAAACGAGAGCAGGTAGATCTGCTACATACAGAATGGCCTTCGGAAACCTCTGCTATTCTTTCCGAACTCTTGGCTGTTTATCTGTTTCAGGGTATCCAAGGGTTGTATCGAGGCTATAAAAGCACAGTTTTAAGAGAGGTAAGTCACTTACTTTCTGTTATTGAAGTACAAAGGAATGATGTGCTTTGTTCCGTAAGTTTATACTTCTTAACAATTAGAAATATATTTGGAGAAACTTGGTTTAAAAAATCAAAAAGAAATTGTAGTCACTCTTTAGTTTTCTCAGTTTTTATATTTAAAAGAATGGGTAGAACGGGTTTGCTGGAAGAGCAATTTCAGTGGTCAGAATGGCCCGTCATGTAACTGACTTATTATTCTAGGGTGACTAAATGTCTTTTATATTTGAAATATTAAAAAATAACTACGGACAAGGCATGGTGGCTCATGCCTGTAATCCCAGCACATTGGGAGGCTTAGGCAATGAGATCACCTGAGGTCAGGAGTTTGAGACCAACCAGGCCAACATAGTGAAACCCCGTCTCTTGTAAAAGTACAAAAATTAGCTGGTTGTGGTGGTGGGCACCTGTAATTTCCAGTTACTTAGGAGGCTAAAGCAGGAGAATCGCTTGAACTCTGTAGGCAGAGGTTACAGTGAGCCAATATTGTGCCACTGCACTCCAGCCTGGGTGACAAGAGCGAGACTCTGTCCCCGTGCCCTCCCCCCAAAAAAAAATAACTACTAAGGATAAGATATCAAGTTAAATACTGAATTATGAGGAACTAATGAAAAATTGGTGATGAAAGATGCACTCTAAGAAGGGACCCCCAACCCCGGGGTCGTGGACTGGTTCTGGTCCATGGCCTGTTAGGAACTGGGCCACACAGCAGGAGGTGAGCAGCAGGTGAGTAAGCATTCCTGCCTGAACTCCACCTCCTGTCAGATCAGCAGCAGCATTAGATTCTCAGGAACATAAACCCGATTGTCAACTGCTCATGTGAGGGATCTTGGTTGTGTGCTCCTCATGACAATCTAATGCATGGTGATCTGAGGTAGAACATCTGAGGTGGAACAGCTTTATCCCAAAACCATCCACATCACCACCAGGCCATGGAAAAATTGTCTTCCACAAAACCTGTCCCTGGTGCCAAAAAGGTTGGGGACCGCTGGTCTAAGAGATGGGTGTCTCGAAAGTCTGTATCAGGCAGTTATCCCTTGGCTTCTTGATAACGAAATAAGATGAGCTGGGAAGTTCAGTCTGGCCTGGAGACCTGGCACTGCAGGTGATTCACAGTGCAGTGTGCCCCAGGGCAAGCCACTTCGCCTCTCTTTGCCTTCTAACTCTAAATTTCTGTGATTCAACACATGGGAAATTTTCTTTTGTTGTTTTTGGTTGAAAGAGCAAAAGTTTACCATCAATAAGTAGTTTCGGTATATTACTGCAAGAATCATGGTATAGGCCAGGCATGATGGCTCAAACCTGTAATTCCTGCATTTTAGGAGGTGGAGGTGGGTGGATTGTTTGAGCCCAGGAGTTTAAGACCAGCCTGGGCAACATGGTGAGACACTGACTCTATAAAAAAATATGTGAAAACTAGCTGGGCGTGGTAGTGCCTTAATCCCAGCTACTTGGGAGGCCAAGGTGGGAGGATTGCTTGAGCCTGGGAGGTCGAGGCTGCAGTGAGCCATGATTGTGCTGCTGCACTCCAGCCTGTGTAACAGTGAGACCCTGTCTCAAAAAAGAAAAAAAAAAGAAGCATGTTATAATCTTTGCTTCACATAGAAGTGACTGTGTTGAAGTTCAAGAGTTTGTTTTCAGATAGGTGAGATCTAAGAGAAGTCTGGTTTGGGACACCATTTTCTATTAAAACATAAGCGAGAACCTGCATACATGTGCCCTGCATCTGCGTTTTCTATTTGGAGGTCCTGGGATACTGAAACATAATCGTTAAATATTGCTGTAATTGACCAAATACTGAAATTCATTGAAATCCTTCATTTTATTCTCAGGTAGTTTTATTGTGTTTAACTAGAGATTACAGTCCTCTTTAGGACCTAACAGCGCTGTTATATGTGACTTGTAGCTTTGGTTTTTCACAGGTTAACAACCTAGTCGGTGTAGATGTTTGAAGAACTTCTTTTTAAGGCAAACTTAATGTTTCAAAATTAGTTATTTGTGTGGAGATGACTTCTGCCTTTCAGAAATATCACCCATACTGTATATTCACTCTGTACTTAGTTTATGACTCACTAAACTTGTGTTACTTAGATTTCACCTGGGTGAGGAAAAAGTGAGGCATAAGCCTTTTTTATTTTTCTGAGAGATGCTGAATAAATGAATATATTTACATGGCAGAGAATGCTGGTTTTGCATACAAACAGATAAACCACATGGCTGCAACTGCATTCTGTTCTTTAGAAAATTTGTTTTGACATATGTCATGCTGGTAATTAATTTCTAGGCTGCAATCCTTGAAAGTATTGTGACCTTACTGAGATGACTTCGTTTACTCAAAATGGCAGCGTTTTGTTGGAAATTTAATTGAGGTCTTCTGCATTATGCATATTTATAAAAGATCCTTCAGACTTGATTTTAGTTGAGGTATTGCTTTTGTACAGATTCTCTGATAGAACAAGAGAAGAATTATTGCTGAATGAAACACAGCTTCTTCTAAAAATGAGAAAAATAAGAAGTGATACTTTTGCTTTAAGCAAAATTTTTTGCATTATAGCTTAGATTCTTATTTTATTCTGGCACCAATAGAAAATCTTTTTGCCAAGAGCTTGTTTGTTGTTTCAGTAGGAAAATAAATCAAAACCTTAGTGAGAATCACCTGGAAATGTATACGTTTATTCTGTATGCAGTTTTTTCTTTAGTTTTATCTCCCTAGCAGTTGCCGATTAAAATGAGATTGAAGCTTGAGTCCATGCGATATAAGATAGATTCTGTGTGTTCTTTAGATTGTGTGAATGTTGCCGCACCTTTTTTTTTTTTTTTTAACTGCATTTGATGTTTGTGGAGATTGCATGCTTATCCCTGATATTTTCTGAAATTATTTTAGTTACTGTGAATTTTAGACGGAGTCTAAGCAAGGTCAGCAGATTACACTATTTACCTTACCCTTTCAGTGTTCATTTTTCTCATGATCTTTGCCAAACTAGGTGTGGTCAAGCATGCTGGTGCAGTGATATTACTGCAGGAAGATGAACGTGGGGAGCAGAATCATAGCCGCTTTCATTACCAGGATGATTTCAGATGCTATTGGCCTGAAAATATTATGGAGAGCAGCCTCAGACTCTTGGATGTGAATTAGAAGGTCTTTTATAGAGGAAGAAAACAGAGTGAAGCAAATTGTTTCAAAAGAAGTAGGAATCACTTAAACTTAGCAGGCGTCTTTTGTCCGCAAACTTCACTCAGCAGTCCTTTTTGGAGTGCCTACTGTGTTTTGGGGCACTACAGGGAACACTCCTTCCCTGAAGGATTCACTTTCTGGCAGGGAAACAAATAGGGAAGTAGACACTTTCCGTGCAGTGTCATAAGCACTGTAATGATAAGTATATACAAGATGTAGCTGGGGTTGCAGAAGAAGTAATGCTTGAGTGATGCTCAATTAGCATTAAATGACTCTTAATTGTTGAAGGAGTGGCAGTTAGAAGGTAGTCAAGGATATAGGCAGATAGAACAGCAAGAGCAAAGGCACAAGGGTGTGAAAGTACATGTGTGTAACTTGCTTATTGAAGCAGAATTGGGGTTTTCATGACCACAGAAGAGAGTGCAAACCAATGAGGGCCTTCAAGAGAGCATGAAGTGGGGTATTTGTGTGGAGAAGAAGTTGAACCTCTTGCCTCAGCTGTTTGTTTGCCAGGGACTGGAGTGGAGTATATGGGAAAAGCCTCTGAAAGAGCCTGACATGTTCACTGCAGTCTGGAGGATAAATTGCTGGTGTCAAAAGAAAACCAAGGTGAGGAGCTGGTTGGAGCTGTCCCAGTGGCAAAATGTAGTCATTTTAATAACGAATAACTCCTGGCTTCTTTTTGGTGGATGCCACTAAAGAGATTTGAGATAGGGTAAGGGTTGCCCCCCCGCCGCCCCCCGCCCTAGTTTTGCTCCATGCGGTCAAGCACGCCAAACAAGTCATTCAATCTGTTCAGTAAGTTCATTGAAGTCCCCAGTCCTTAGGTGCGAAAATGATTACTCTTACTAGCTTATTTGAAAGTAGATATAGCAGCTTTCCAGACTTGTTTGCACTTATTATCCATGTTAGGCAGTGAGGATTCCCCTAAATCCAGTGGCTGGAAATGGGAACCCTCAGGCATCAAACCTCAAGGACTGTCCTCTGAAGTCCTCTTTCCAGTTCTGCTGTCTGCCTACTGAGTGCCTTTCCCCTAAACACTCATGTTGTAGAAATCTCCTTAGTGTTTTTTCAGAGACACCCTATTCTAGATCTTCTGTATTTTTTGTTGCTGCTTTTTAACCTATTTTGGAGATCATTTATATCACTTCATAAAGAGCACCTTCATTTATAATGATTGCATAGTAGGCCGTTGTATAAACAAAACATTGTTTATTTAACATTTCCCTGTTGGTGGACGTGACAGACATGCTTCAGTGACTAATACTGTTCCCGTGTCATTTTATACATGGTTGAATGTGCGTAGGTTACATGCCAAAAGTAGAATTACTTCATGAAAGGTATGGGCATTTGTAATTTTGGTAGATAATGCTTAATTGACTTCAGGTAAGTACCAACTGATGCTTGCTGACAATGTGGGAGCTTTCTGTTTTCCCCTGCCTCACCTATGGACTAGCAGACTAAAAGACAAAAACTGATGTCATTATAGTTCTAATTTTAATTACAAGTAAGACTGGACATATCAGCATATATCTGAGAAAGATTTCTGAGAATGATTTTATTTACTTTCCTGTCACCTGATTATTTGAAACTTCCCAGAATTCTTGTGAGGATTAAATGAGGGGATCCAGGGGAAGTGCTTTGTATAGTGCTTGTCACGTAGTATGTACTCAGGAAATGTTAACTGAGATGATTAGTACTCTGGTAACTGAAAGAGTGTTGACAGTGAAGGACACCTGATAAGGTTTGGGTCTGTGTCCTCACCCAAGTCTCATCTCGAATTGTAA